ACTAATGAATTTACTACTTCAAAAGATTTGAAGTAATTTCTGTGTGGGAGAAACACAGAGAAAGGTTGTTCTGGGATTTCTTTCTTTCTTTTCAAACCCTCCACCGTTTTAATTTCTGGTCAAGAAAATTTGTGATTATAATATGGCTGTTTAGTAGTGATATGAAATAAAATCTCCCACTTTTAATTCATCTGAAGCTGGTTAATTTCCCCGTCAAATAAAGTAAAAGCGTCATTATGGTAAACTCATAGTCATTACTATGCACTGGATGAATGTAGAAACCACACCTAACCCCCTATAGGATGCCAGACCGCGTCCTGAAGCCGGGAGACTTTGAGCGACACCAGCAGCAGGCGAACCGTGGGCGGGGCCGCGGGCGGGGCGGCGGTGGATACCGTCCACAGCTAGGTTTTACCCGGGACAGTGGCCACGGGGCCAGACTGTCCGACTCGGGCCATCGCATGCTGCAGTGAGTACGGCGTTGCTAACGGCAACAGTTGCCACGGTGTTGGTGTGTTTCCGCAGCACGTGGCAGTTCTAATAAACAATCATTCCTCATTTCTTCTCCCCCCCTCCAGTGACACTGCTGATGACTGCATGTTGCCAGCTCTCTACCTCCAGTTAAACGCCTCAACTTTAACTTTAACTCTCTCCTCTGCAGAAAGAATAAATGCATGCTGCTTGTTTGTTTGCTTCTTTAGTTGCTTGGTGCTTGGGTAAAATTTTTCTGCCAGTGTCATTGAACTAGAACAACAATAGTCCAAAAAAATTCTTCCTTTTTATAATGTATTGTTTGGAGTTGTTGAAAATCTTGGCCTAACATGACAATTGTTCTGAGTAAAATGACACTGTTTTCTTATGACTGCATAGTCTCCACTTTCTTTGCAATGTTGTGCTTTGTTTTGTTTTGTATTTCTTGCTACATCTTGGGTGATCATGTTATAAGGTGCATACTGTAGTACTTTGGTAAAAACCATAACTTTTAACACCTTTAATTTCCTTTCCATTCCTTCCCCATATATACATGTAGATGTGTGGGTGCTCTGCTCTGCGCTTGACCCTTGACCCATCAACCTGATGATACCCTGCATGTTCCTGTAGTTTCGCCTACAGCATGAAGTTGTTAAAGACCCCCTGCTTTACCCTTCAGTGAACCTTTCCTGTTTGGTTATTTCCTTGCGTTCTGTCACTGATAGTACTGACCTTTGACCCACAGGCATGGCATAAACAAGGCGTCGGGGAGTTCTTTATTGGGGAGTCCTCCCCCGATGATGGGCTCCCCCGGGTTCCAGTCTCCACAGTACAACAGGGGGAGCAACTACAACTCCCCCTCCCCTTACAGCAGGGGCAGGGACTACAACTCCCCCTCCCCACACGGTTCAGGGGGTAGGTACGACAACTACAGACAAGGGGGCGGCTCTGGAGGCTACAGGAATGGTGAGTGCTGATTTTATGTGCTTACATGTGTACCCTGTTTCCACTAGAGGTTGCAACCACTGAGCAACCAAAGATGGGACAGAGCACTCAATATATTTCATGGATATAGCACTTTCTTTTATGTCTGGATGTGTTTTAAATCATACATCTTTCATCAAATTCCAACTATAAAATCTAAGGTTCACACAAATCCAATTTTTGGTCACTGTACAGTTGTATATGGAAAGGGGCCCATAGTAGGCATGACATGTGTAAGACTTCCTACTACGAATTTACTAAGATACATGTTGTATGGCTGTGCCAATGTATTTTCTTGGTTTATTGTGGTTTATTGTCTAAGCTATTTTTTATTTCAGTAAAGATTAGCAAAACGTTCAGGGAAAAACTGAGTTTGGGGGAGAAAACTTGAATCCGACAAGTATAAATCTTTTATTACTACATTACATGTGTTAATCTTTATTATACTTCTGGCAACTCCCCATCTCCAAATTGGTCCCAGTACTTGTAGCACATGTAGTTTGCACACTAAAAGAGCAATTGGCACTGTAGAATTAAGAGCTGGAGCTCTCCAGAAAAATTGTATTAACTCTCCAACTAGTGTTACCCTTTAGAGAGTTCATTTTGTGTTAAGTTGTCTCAGTGCTTGGTAATTCTTTACCATCTTACATGAAGAGCCCTGATTGTGAATTCCTCATTCATGGTAGATAACCCTTAGCGCCATCCCAATTAAGGACCAGGGAAGAGGTGTGGAAGGCCATTAAATCATCATTACGTCCAATCTACATGTGTAGTTTTGGGAACCAAATGCCAATGATGTACACAGATTGCTCTTAATCATGCCATTTTGCATAAGTGCAAATATCACTGCTGTAGTATTACTGGCATCACAGAGTGCGCCGCGCTGCTCGTAGCCATACAAAACGAAGTTGTTCTCAAAATTTGTTGGAGATTACTATTTTCCTGCGTAAGTTCTTGTGCGTAGATTTAAGAGAGGACACTCAGAAATTTTGTGAGTAGTGCTATAGACACTTGAGACTGAAATGTCGACTGTTAAGAAGTAGGAACATTTTAATGCCATTTAAGTTCAAGACTTGTGTTTATTCCCTCTTGGCTCTTGATATATCTCATGCACTGTAATCTCAACCAATGAAGTGAATTATGTAACATGTTTTGAGTAGTTTTTTGGCCCTTTGGTATAATATCTTATCACTTGATCTTTCCCCCAAATACGTCAATGAAGGTTAGACATCCATGTAATGACTCCAGAGGTATACAAGAAAACAGTTACTCTTGCAACTGGACAGATTTTGAAGATCTATCCAGTTGCTTGAGTAACAGTTACTGTTGTCTTGTGTCTTTCCCAAATATTTTGGATACTTCATATAGTAGAAAGAAGCAGTCAAGCAAAAATCATGGGGAAAATTTTCATCTTTTGCCATTCATGAAGCATATTTTTAAAAAAAGCTGTATTCAGCTTTCCTAATGATGATCTCAGAAGAAAAGGTCACTAACACAAAGCTTACTTTCTCTCAGCACAGCTAAGTGTTGCAAATTGTGCTCTTAGAGCGGCTGATTGGGGGCGGGAAGTGCTTTCAAAAGCACACAGAGTAAATGGCGGAAGATTGAAAGGGAGCGAGGACGTGTAATCGCCATGTTTTTGTGCGCGTGTGTGTAATTGTGATGTCATTAGTGTTGAAGTTCTCTTTTGGAGATTGCATGTTTGTCAGCCAGTGTGATCCACAATTACAGCCTGTAACTTCATTAGGGGCATGTGTCCCTGCACTTGCAATTTAAAAGTACATGTAGGGGCACTTAGTGTTAGGCCTTCTTGTTGAATAATTGAGTGTACAAACTTGTGTATTCTTAGGCTCACACAATTTAGAATGCACAAATTGTGCAAAATACAAATAGTTCTGTTCTATTCAAATTCATCTCGACTATTCAAATAAAATGGTCATGACAGCTCATGCTGTGTTGAAAAGGTTTGCTACACCAGTTCACAGGACCTAACTGTAAATACATGTAGTTGTATTCCAAACTACAATGTACAAATGTAGTTGAAACTATGATTGTTCATGAAGGCATAAATGCATATAGCACAGTCTTGATTTGCAAAACTCTTGAAAAATATCCTCTCAAAATTTTTATACATTTTACAAGTCAAATATTTGAAATGGACTAAATGATGAAAGGTAGGACAAAACACGAAGGATTCTATTTTGCAAATTATTTGCTCTCAATTTATAGAATCTTGCATAGTACAATAATATAAACTTTACCAAAACAGTGCAGGCCTTGTAACTGCAGAATGATGACTTCAGGTTGTAGTAGTTATATAACCATTTGGATACGCTCCACACAGACAATATTACAAATGTACATAAATTAAAGGTGTAAAACAGCCTATTAGGTTGTCGACTCTAAAGTAGGCATTACACAACCAGTACTACTGTACAGTTGTCTTTGTGTCCCCTGTCTACCAGTCTTTCATAGCCAGGGCAAGCCAAATGTTCCTTCCTTGTGGGTACAAATTGGATATCATTGTGGCCCTGTCAAATCTTGTCAGCCTACAACATGTCCTTTGTGTGGGTTTTACAAAAGACCCGGGCGCTACTCGACTTGTAGCCAGCCAAAGTGTCTGTGGGTGGGCCATTTCTGATTTTCTCTGGGTGGGCCACTAAGTTTGTACAATTTCGTTCATCATCATTTGAAATCTTGTGTTTGTATCAAGGTCTTTTCTCAGCATCCATGTAGTAGGCAGTAGTTTGGTTGAAAAAAAGAGGCAATTCAAATCATATTTCCTGACAAGAATCATGGAAACGTATTTCATACATTTTTGTCAACACAGTCATTTTCTCTCGGTGTCATCTAAAGTGCTCCAAAACCCTGCTCCAAGCATCAGCTAACTGCAATCTTTGTACAATTTTCCGCGTCTGCGATTACAACATTTTGATGTGATGATTGCATCAGGAGTAGGGTGTGCACTGATGGAAGATGATTGAATCTAGAGAGATGAAATTATAGGGCAAAAAAGAAGAGAGCCAACAAGAATCATTCTAAATCAATATTTGCATGCGGCGACACATGGGGCATGTCAAATAGCTGCCATCTTGTTGGAACAGAGAGGATTTTCCCGGCGCGGGTAATTGTGAGAGCGCGGCACGACCCCCCCACCTGTCGCCCTCGGTGCAGCAGGACTGTTTATTCGCCTGATTTGGTCGACAGGAAATTGAATTTGGTACGGGATTGTTTGGGTCATGGCAGTTGTCTTCGCACAACTATATAGAACCTTTTAGGCTCCTGTGACTGTATTATGCAACCTTGATTAAAGGATATGGATGATTTCAATTGAAGACTGCTCTGTGAAAAGCTAACTCAAGTGTGAAAGTGGTGAAAGACGCTGATATTTTTACAGAATGCATCTTTTTTTTCAATCCCCATATGACATGTATTGATAAAAACAATTAGTAAACTTGAGAAATTGTGGAAGTTTTGTACATTCAGCATCCTTTAGCACAAAATTCTGTCGATGATTGAAGATTTTGTTGTTAAGAAACTTTTCTGTGTTTGAACCTTAGCAACAGCCTGATGGGTAGAGTGCTTGTTGCACACTACAACAGTGCATTTTTTTCTTTGATCATCCTCAATATAAAAGGGCTATCCTATAGTATGTTTTTAAACCCTTGTCCTGTGGGTCCCATATATATATGGGTTGCACATATAGTACCATCTATGTAGCGCCCTGTGTATATACAAGTTGTATTTCTTGTGCAACGCATCACACCGCAGCGAAACGCAATGAATGCGGAAGTAAATGGGCCACCGCAGGGCAACAAAAAGTCAAAGGTCTATGACTTTGTTAAGAAAATTAATAATATTATTGTGTAAAAAATGCCAGAAGGACAAGGGTTAAAATGATTGTCTGGTGTTCTAACTAGAAGTTTGATTTTGTCCATGTTTCCTACAGATCAGTATCAGCAGAGACAGGGGGGTTACCCCCACCCCGGGGGCAGCTCACCCGCAACCCCCACAGGCTGGGGACACAACCAGGTGCAACAAGCCGTGTCGTACGGCATTCAGCAGCTACGCAACCAGCAGGGGGGCAGCTACCCAACACCCCCGGGAGGGGGGTATCCCACACCCCCTGGAGGGGGGTATGGTAACAGAGACCAGGTACGTTAATTCAATCCTTTAATCAAAGTCTGCTGTAGCTGACTCTGCTGATAGTTGTTCAACATGGCAAATTCTATGATATTGTGTGCAATGCAGAAATATCTCATGTATGGCAGGCAAATGGCAAAAATCAACAATGTAGTTCCATAGTCCGTTCTGTATAGTGTCCTTGCTTAGTTAAAACATACAGCAATTTTAGAATGCCACTTGGAGAATCTTAACTGTGCCTAAACTAATGCAGACAATATCTTCTCCGACACAACATTTGAAAACTATACAAGGGATGTCATCTTTAATACGCGAATACGACTTCAAAAGAGACGTTCAGTCAAAGTGGTACACAAAATGTATGACGAGTTTCGCACAGTACGTTCTGCCAATGTGCTATATATATTGATCAATGTTACCTGTATTTGCAATCAGCCCTGGGGCATGTATTTGTACTAAACCTGTCACCATTGTTGTCGTGTTTCCAGCGTCGCGAGGATCCCCGCCGCCGTGAGGACCCCCGTCGGCAGTCCTTCCCGCCCAACCGCGGCGGCCGAGGCAGTTACCCCCAGCAGAGCCGCGGATGGTACTAAACCAAACATAACCCACCCATAGAGCAGTTACAGTGTACATTGTTAGTGTACAGGGCTAGCATAGGTAGACAACATGTCAGTTTTTAACCTTCTTCCTGCAGCCTAATCCTGTAAACCAATATAGAATTGGCTACTTTGGTGTGCTAAATGTTAGACAGGAAGAAACAAGCAAACAATTCTGGGGGACCAAACTACATTCTCTGTGTATAAATATGCAAATTTGTCGGGTCCTGAATAGTAAACATATGAAATCTTTTTGTATGTTATTGAATGTATTTTGTTGTCTAAGACTTCATTATATGGTGGGATAATTTGGATGAAAAATTGACTACAGGAAATTCAATCTTTTTATCACAGGATAAAATAGACATGTTGTTGGTTGTTTGCAGTTGAAAACATTGCCGTACAGTCATTAGATAATAAAAGAAATCACTATTTTTTTTCAGCGGCTAATTGTAAAGTTGAGCTGATCTTTCACAAATGTCTTACAAATGTCTAACAGGATACATCTTCTGTATGTTTCTGGTACCTAGTTAATATCTAGATATCAGTTAACACACAACTTGGATAGAAAAGTCCTGCAAACAAGCTGTATAAACCAGATATACTACATAGGTGTACTTGCAACTTTGGCAGAACCATGTACAAATAAGTCAGTTAAAACTACTACATGTATTTGCCTGGTAAGTACTTTAGTATACACTGTATATTTAGCATGTCTATACTTCTACGCTGCATCCAGCATTATAGCTGGGTGGTATACTATCGAGGAAAATAACATTTTTTTAGATGTATAAGGTAAGCAAAACCCTTTCATTGTTTGAAATCATGCGACATTTGTCAAACTGTCTCCATACTATTGTTTACTACATGTATCATTCTTTTTTTAGTATTTTTGTAAAATCTGTTAAAATTAAAAATTGCGAGCAGCCCATGCTAATCTGAATATGGTATAAAGTGTCAGTCCATTAATAATTGAGTAACTTTAGTTATGATTGATACATTTTGTAATAAACTGAATGTAATTTATGAAGCAGGTACCATTTTGAGACTCTGGTCTTGGCAATGTTCAATTCCAGACAATTTCCTCTCTCAGAATGCGTAGTGAATTTTACGTTTTGCTGTATAATTAAATGTCACACTGGTACTGTGCATATTTCAACTCCTTTGAAAGTGTATAGTTTTTTTTGTACAAGCGTTTTTGTTGTGTGAAATTATCTTTCACACTCAATACTTAAACCACTAAAACTAAATGAATGTACATTTATACTAGTACCTGATTTGAGGGACATTGTATAATCATGAAATACATTTTGAACATTCTGTTTAGTTGATCAATTGATTGTCTGGGAAGTGAAAGGGTGAATAAAATGTGTATGTTGTGACAAAAATTGGTGATTGTTTCCTATTTGTTTTTGTTTTTTTTCTGTAGAGTTAAAGTTGTCATCTTTAGGCCATTCAGATTTATACATAAAAATGTTAACAATTAAAACTAAAAAGATTCATAATCAGGGGGATGCCTTTTAGCGGTATGATTACACGAAAGATGTCAGAAATTTTGTGGGAGGTGCATGTAGTATGAGGTGCAGTAATTGACACCGCCGATAGGGGTCTCCGTCCCCCTTGACCGTCAGGGCCGGGCGACCAGCTCTCAGTTTTAATAAAGAGATTTGAACAAGAAAGTTTTATCCTCCCTGTTTTTTTTTTAAATTTAAGTACAACAAAATGAAGCCCGGTGCCTGTCTCATCACAAATAGTGGCTTTCTGATGTCTTCCTTTTTAAAACTTATCCACAAACATTTGCACTACCGGTGTCACTTCAAATTCGCCTCTGCCAGGCTTCAGAAGCGGCTGGAAAAGTAGAAATTGGCCAAATAGACAGATTACGCCAGGGGAGTTGGTCCGCTGAATGATTAACGTTATAGTTTTGAGCGGCAAACCGCTTTGGCATATCATCTGTCTGTTTGGCCAATTTCTACACCTTCCATCCACTTCAGAAGCCTGGTAGAAGGTACTTTCCAAGTATATTTTGGAATTCGTGACTACTTATATAACTGTTATAGGATCACATGTTGAACATGCGACCGTTCAAAGAACGATCAATCAACAATTGTCCTCACTAAAAAACAGCGTACGCCTTCCTACAAGAAGGCAGGGAATTGGAACGTAGAATCCTCGGTATAACGTAGTTTGCACGTAAACTTGGTGTGTTGAAAGCAAAAGCTAGGAGCAAAGTAATTAGCATTTACATGTCATGGCAAAGAAATTGACAAGACGTTTTGAAAATGATTATTGTTAGTTATCTTAGAGGTTAGTATTTCAGACAAAAAGTGGTTCATATCACCCTAGATTTGATTATCAAGTTTTAAAAAAGCATAAGGAATATTCTTTTATGTCGCCAAGTTCGGATAAAAAAAGTTTGTGCATCTTTGTTAGATGTGCGAATGTTACTGTGGGTCCTGGGATCTTATTTGTCATGGGTTATTACGTCGTCTATTCATGGCGAATCCTGTAGGATGAGCCTAAAGCAAACACTGAGATCACGGAATTAACTGTGCTGTGTCTCTCTGACAGACGACATTTTACCTCAGGGACACCCCCCTCCCCACTTTTTTGATACAGATGAAATCTAGCATGTGATTATTCCTCCCTCCGAACAGAAGGGCCTTCTCACACGATCGTCCAGGGAAAAGGGTAGTAGATTCGTCTGTTTGCCTTTCGCACAATCGACCCAATAAAGATGGAAATGGGAGGTTTTCAGACGACGCGGTGAAGCGTGTACAACTCTCGGGTCACAACTGGGCCTCATCCATCGCGCCAGAAGTCAGCCCTGAATGGACCGGGCTCACACACAATACCGGGCCGGCGCTCGCGTTCTTTCCTCCCCGCTCAAAAAACATCCGTTGTTACGGGGAGGGAAAAAAATACCCATTGTCCGACCATTAAATACCCTTCGCTTGGCCCAACATATGTTCTACCTTCACACCTTCTGTCAGAGAATCGTCCCGAGTTTTCCCGCGCAAATTCTACCGCCACGGCCAACCCGCGAACTTGCGGTCGTCTGGGGCCAGCTATCCAAGTCTGAAGTGGAAAACTCGAGGACATGTTTGAGATGTTGTTTAGTGTATATTTGCTGAGTTACGTCGGTAAATTTACTATGGCGATTGTGAGAGGAGTGGGAAAGATCCTGGCGCAAAATCTCATGAATGTACATGCCGCATCAGTCTCCATAGGTGACTGGAGAATATTCGAAAAGGATAGAATTTGTATTTTGTAAGTGACGAACGTATGGGAAAAAAACAAGGCAAAAACTAGAATCGAAGCATTTGAAACTAATTATAGAAATGAATCACAATGGTATATATTCTGGTATACGTGTATTAGTTATCTCTCATATCAATTTTTCTTTACTTTTCTCTCAGCTAATGAGTGAATTATTGCAAACTGAAGTGACAATTTCCGGACGATAAAACTAAAAATATGATACCATTGTTGTGTTATCGCTAATATCGCCTAGAATTTCCGGTGAAATTTAGATAACGAACGGGCGTATATATGACGGCAGTTTATGTTTCCTCAAATTTGCGGTAGCAAGTCTTTTAAAACGTACTTTATGGCATCGCGTTTTATGTCTATATTACGACGCAAGTTGACCGGTGAGTGACCGCAAATTCCACGCATTAGTCATGACTTCAAACGAATTTCGCCCATAAAGAAGTTTGTTTAGCAAGTATTGTGTATTTCTTTGTCTTCCAAATAATACTTTTCAATCAAGGATCGTATTCAATTTACAAGGGCATGAAAAAAACGTTAGCTAGTAGTGCACGGCTTGTGTTTATAGCCAAGCACATCGGGTCACCCCTACTCTTGTTGATAAGTGTGTTGGGTTCTTTTACGTGCAGAGGTTTTTGACGCCGTAAGCTCCCCCATCCGAAAGACATAGCCCTCCCTCTTCCACTAGAGATAGCCTCGAAAGCCAGGCATTGATAGCACACCATATGTAGAGTTTCCCTATGGTTATCCTATAGTATCATAGGCCAAAAAAGTCACAGTGTGCGTGAGACTACACTGCGTTAGCCTAATCTCCAAGCAGATCTTACGCGTTACGGTGGGGGTAAGACAGTATCAAATTGGCCAGCCTGTATCCATTTGCCAGACAGTATCCATTTCCCCACCGAAAACAGTATCCATTTCCTGGCAAATGGATACAGGCTGGCCAATTTGATACATGTCTTACCCCACCGAAAGATCTGCTTGGAGATTACGCTAGCCTCCTGTGCAGACTTTTCTAGCGGGCTTTCTTTGTTTCAATGAGTACGACGGTTTCTTTTCGGTGGGTGGCTGTATCGGGGGGATATAGCTGTTTCGTATTCAGCCGATACAGCCCTCCCCCGAAAAGAAATCGCCGCACTCAATGGAACAAACGCGGGCCGCTAGAAAAGTCTGCACGCGAGGCTATCACCACGCGCCCGTCCCATAGCGTGAAATCTAGAGGAGGCTCGCTGTTGATGGAGTGTTAAAAGAGATACGGGGGCACACCAGCGCGCGACGCGGCGATGACAGGGCCGATTTATTGTGCATCCACAAGTACTTGTTAATGGCCCTCAGCAAGCCTAGGACAGCATGCTGACGAGCACTTCAAGTATCTTCTTCTTCAACTGATATACTTCGCGTCAATCGCGTGTGTGTGCGGTGTGATGCGGTAGTCTGTAGCGCGATGTTTGTTTGGTAGAGGCCTGGAGGGTCATCGTTCGGTAGTGTGAACTATGCCATTGCTATGGAGTGACAATTAATCTCAAAAAGCAAAATGGGTATGCTTTTCTAGCTGTCAGTTTTTGTCATTGCTTAGAGATTTTTTCCTGATGTGTACGAGCAGACAAACCAATTTAGTCCCTAATCTTGTTATTATTTGTCAGTGAGGAACATTTTGTAGACGTGAGAGAACCGTGAGGTCTATATATGAACACTAACGTATGTGTATGAGTAATCTTCAAGCAGATACCACAGTGGCAAGACAGTGACCATTAACCAACGGTGGCTAATGGCCAGTGGATACTGTCTAACCACTATTATGCAGAGGTTTGGGTTTTGTCTTATTTTTGGCGTGTTTTAGTTTTTTATCGGGCTTTTTTTGCACTGACATCTTACGCCAACAATTGACAAAAAGATACCAGTGCAAAAAAGGAATTCGCAAAGCCTAAAACACACCAAAAATCAGCCAAAACCCAAACCTCTGCTTGGAGAGTATTACCATCGTATGATCTGCTCAGAGATGAACGTATACAGAAGTTACATGATCTTTTCTTATGCATGTCTTTAGTGTAAGTAGAAAGAAGAAACAAAATACAGTAGTGACGATATATAGTCGGAACTTTTTGTCAGTCCAAAATCTGATTCATTTATTGAGTTGTTTGTCCTTTTGATACCGACATCATCTACTGCATCGTCATTGCTGGTTTGTTGAACCGCGAATACTGTTAAACTTTTAAAACTTGAACTTTCTATCATTTCTCCTTATAAGACAATATGTAAGGAAACCTGTTTTAAAAAGGTTATAAATGCAACATCGCCAATTCCATTAGTTATGCAATTATTCATCCAATCCACTTGCAATCTTGCTAACTAGCTTCCTCCTTGTACAATAATTGTTCAGCCCAAATCATTAGTTCCTGGCGTGCCTACTTCTGCTCTACCGTTTCTCCTATTAAAACCAGGCGCTATAGAATCCACGATTTCCCTTCTATTAGTTCTAATCGCCATTCCAATTAAGATAGAGTCACGACAAAGTCCTTTTGTGCGGTTAAGTGTTTTATTGGGAAAGGCGCGCGCAACAACGCAACGCTAATCTCCAAGCAGGTCTCTTGATGGCTGCGAGACAGTTAGCCTCTACCAGGCTTCGGGAGGCGGTGGAAAGAGTGGAGATCAGCCAAATAGAGAGATAACATACCGAGGGAGTTGGTCCGCTAGAGAGTACATTTCTAGCGCAAACTGTTCTCTCCAGCAGACAAACATTTTTGGCATGCTATCTCTCTATTTGGCCGATTTCTGCTCTTTCCAACCGCGCCCCCCCGACGCCTGGTAGAGGCTACAACACAGTAACAAATTGGCAAGCGCAAGCCAGTATCATTGGCATGACAGTATCCAATATACGCCAATCGCTTGCGAAAAAAGAAAAAGAAACCATGTACAAAGACCCAGTTCATACTATTAAAAGCGCTAAATAATTAGCGGGAAAAAACGGCTAAAACCATTCATACCAGACATTACATAACCGGTTTTGTCCGGTGAATATACAATTAATCGACCATGAGTGCAGTTCTAATAAAAAACGTTCCTCCCGCTCTTCCTATTGTAGTCCTTGGCCTTCTTTTATGCCGTCTTCGGATTCTTTAACGAAAGCC